GATGGAATTATTTCTTCTGAGACCTTACTTGAAGGGTTATTTACTCGAATTATCTTATTGGACGTTGTACATACAGAGCAAGGGGAAACAAAGTTGGAGCTTTGTTAGTTGCCAATAAATACTTTTCATTAAATAAAATTATGAATTAGGATATATGTTGTGTTTGGTAAGTTTGTAGGCAGAAGATTTTCCTTTTGAAATCTTCGATTATTTCTGTAAAAACTGACTTCTCATAATATCAGTTTGTTATTCCCATATGATTAACTGTTAAAAGCTTCGTTTATTCGATACTTGTATGGTTATCTTAGTGGCCATAAAACTGATGTAAATATATCTTCGATGGGAGATAGAACAGAGGACTAATTGAGAGCTTATTTAGTTCTGGTGGTTGCATAGTGGCTGTAGACTCAATAAGCTATCTTAAACTCTCATGTCTTTCTCCTTGTCCTTAGTTCGGATTGTTTGTTCTTAAAACTTGGTATCTTTTTAATCCAGGGTAACCTAGGTATTAAGTTCGATCTTCTGAAAATTTTAAGATTTTTGTGTAGCATCTAGTAGTTATGAGGCTAGTGAAGTACTTGAATATCCATCTTTTAACAATCAGTCAGAGGTCTTGTGGGTCTTCTGTGGATTTAGGACCCACAGTCAAACTGTTGAAATTAGTTCTGTAATTTGAGTTGCATAAATTACTGCTGAAATTATGTTCTGTAATTTGATTTGACGTTAAATTCTCCAGATCAATAAACAGAACGTTTCAACTTCCTGTTTCTCAATTGAATTCTTAAACAAATTGTATTGTGCCCTTTGATTCTTCAGAAACTGTCCTTCCCTTTTGGAAGGGCGAAGCCAAAAGAATCAAACATAAATAAGAAACCAGGGATTTCAGTTTGTTCATTACACACATTTCCTATAATGATATTCATGCTAACTGTTTATTTGTACCATCACCTGATATGACTTGTGCAGGTTCGGGCCAGAGTATGTGAGTGGCCTTAGTATCCTTTTTAGATGGTCCCATTGATGTCACTTCTTTTTGTTGTGCTGTCTGAAATCTGCAATGGTTTAATTTTGTTATGCATCTGATAGGTTGGCCATTGTATGTTGGAAGGCCCACTCATTGGGATCGTTCCATCAATATTGTTGTGCCTAAATCAATAATTTTCCTAGAATATTTAAGGCCAAATTATAAGTGGCAAAAATATGTTTATTATTTCGAAAGTTGTAACAATATTCTTCATTTTCATAAATATTTCAAAACTATCATTAGAGTTGAAAGTCATAGAAATTCAAAATTGAACGGTGTATTGGTACTGTTCTAGGTCATCATCAACTCATTCCATGTCTAAACTTTCTTCCAAAATTCTAAACAACTTCTACCCAAAGGTTAGTTTTGAAACATATATGAAAGGGTGAGAATAATATTGAAACTTCTAGGAAAATAAGGCTATTTTTTAAACAAATTACAGTTCAAAGATTACTTTTTTACAATTTAGCCAATATTTATTGCACATGAGTTACCCACAAACGATCTAGAGAAAGAAAGAGAATATCCCTTTTAAGGTTTGTTTGATTTGAAGCACTTGAAAAGGTTATTTTAGATAGGCTGTTAATTACTGCTATTCTTCCACCTCTAGAAATTCAATACTGTTACAATGAAGTGATTTTGAATTCCAGTTTTGGTTCTGTTGGCAGGTTCACAACTCAACTATGGATGAGAAACTTAGCCAGATGGTTCTGGACAATCTTCGGCAATTGAGTACTGGAAGAATCCAATGTAGACGGCTGGATAAATTGCCCCCACATAATGGCATTCACAGGAAGGTTGTCGTGCAGCTGTTGTAGTTCTAGATAAGGCATTTCTGTTCTCTCTTTACTGTTCTTTTTCCCATCATCTTTATGACTCAACTTATAATGCTATCTTATATAGAATGCTCTAATTACTATTTTGACATTGATTCTTCTTATTAGATTGAAAATGGGTTAGGCACTTGGGAGTCGGAGAATGCTTGGGGGATAACTCTCAGGTGAAATGCTTTTTCAATGAAAATAACACTTGGTTTAGTGCTTTTATTACTTTTGGGATTTTAAAAGCCTTTTTTGACCGGTAGCCAAATTCTGAAAAACAATCCTTAGAATTTTTTTAGAAACACATAAGGTATCAACACGTTGGACCAAACACATTAATGAATTAATGTGCAATTGGAGACTTTTATCATGATAATTTTGCATGTTACAATAGGAAAAAACTTCGAAAGATAAAATAAAATACTTAAAAGGGAATGAGGTCTAAGTCGTAGTGGTCATTCATCTATGGTGTAATATCCTACAACCAAATATAGAAGGCTAAACGGGTTGTTTGGTGAGAATAGTTGAGGTAAATATCAACTGGTCTGAACACAAAAATGGTTAAATACTATTTTGGTCATTGTACTTTTAGACAGTTCATTTTGATCTGTATATTTTAAGAACGGTCTTTTTAGTCCTCTTACTAATAGATTGACGACGTAACCTTATTTTCTAAGATGAGTAAGCACTCTGGGTAATTTTAGCTGCTAGATAAGTCAAGTCGGATGAGATTAAATTCCCAACATCTCACAGTTTTTCTCCTTCAAGGGTTTCTTTGTCTTGGTGACCAAATCGTGGTTTTCGATCGTAGTGACCTTAGTGAGCTAGGATTCTTTAGGCATCTGTTCATACCCATCTCTAAAAAATATAATAACTAGAATAATATTTAAATAAACTAAAAAAGAAAACTTGGAAGGGTAAAATATGCTCTTATCTGGTCTTAAAACTGATGGTGATTCTTGATGCTGTTGTGATAGAAAAGCTTACAATGATTGCTTAGTGATGAAAAAAGGTGCAACGGTTTGGCAAAGTTATGTTGAGTTTGAGTTTGAGTAAAGTTGATTTAAAACAACATTCATTCTTTAATCTTATAGCTTTACACCATTATATCATATGCGATTCTAAAGGTAGGCGGAAGGTGAAGAAGATAAAAGAATGAGAGGTGATTCTTCATTTGTTAGAGCCTCTTTTGATGGTGGAATCCTATGCCTTTATGCTTCCATCTTTTAAAGTATAAGTTGGACACGTTCTCAGTATCCAATCCTCTTTCATCAGGCATTGGTGCTTTGTGCTTTACAAAAGGGTATGGTCGTCAATGTTTCGTTAGGTTACAAGTTTAGTGAATTGGAGATCCGTATTGGCTAGCTAAGAAGAAGATCATGAAGAATACTTTTTTATTGGTATGCGGCATTTTAGAAAAATCCAAAGCCAAATCCTGAGAATATATGTTCAAAGTAGATAATATCATATCATTGTGGTTCATTGTTCCTATCATTGGTATTAGTGCCATGCCTTTATCTTTGTGAGCCTCAAAGGTGTTGTCACATTGAAAAATACGTGGTAGAGCTCTATTGGACTAACTTCTAAATATATAACTTAAATTATTTTATACCTCTCACTTGAATGGACATTTCCCATAAAAATACAATAACGTGTAACATAGAATTGTTATTATTATCTTTGTCTACAAAGTGTAACCTCTTTTTTAAGTCACCACTATAGGAAAAGTTATAATTAAAATAGATAAACTTAAAAAATTTAAATGTATTTTTTAACATATATGAAACTAACACATTGATTACGTTTTAGTATAATATTCGTGAATGTTTAGATTATGAATTTCTATACTTGATCTATATTCAATGAATTTTTCCTTAATCTAGCGTTTTTTATTGTATATTTGGAAAGTACTATTGAGAGAAGAAAAGATCTTTACTAAAATCTTAATGGAGCTTTAACCACTTCCTATATCATTAAAACAAATTAATAATCTTTGTTGAATTGAGAAAGGATAAACATTTTTCTTTTTAGGCATAGGAGAGAATCATAAAGTAAAAGAGTAAAAACTTGCATTTTCCTCCTTTTTTTATATATATATTTATTTCCATTCATGAGTTGATGTTGGATGTTGGTGCTTGTTTTTGTTAAAAGCCCCATGTGGACATCATTTTCCCACTTAGTCATTTTGTGACAAATTTTAGCCCCACCACTACTACACCTATAATGTCTATGCTTCCACCACTACTACGTTAGTGTCTCTCTCTCTCTTCTAAGATTTGTAGCAATACAATCGATAGTTCGATGACTATTCAAACAATGACTATTCAGACATAGCTCAGTAGATAAGACATCAATTATCATTTCAAAACATAACTATTCGATCCAAATAAAAGGGTCTAACTATATATGCATTGTGGGTATTTAAGAGAACTTAAAATCGTACTTTTTACCGGTATAGTTTTGAGATCCTGGTTGGAGTGGGAAACAGAGAATTGTTTTCAAGAGTGTAGAAACATTAAAAATTTTATATGCATTGTGGGTATTCAAGAGAACTTAAAATCGTACTTTTTACATGTATAGTTTTGAGATCCCGATTGGAGAGGGAAACAGGGAATTTTTTTCAAGGGTGTAGAAACCTCTTCTGTTTTTAGAACTTTGAGAGGAAGCTCGAGAGGAAAAGCTTACAGTAAGACAATATCTACTAGCGGTGGGTTTGCGCTCTTACAATAGGTATAGGTACATTGTAGTAGATAAATCGTCTCGAGTCTCGCTCAAATTGGACAAAATTCTCAAAACCAAAGAGAATTTGGCTTCCACACATTGGTTACCTCAACAGGCTGGCAAATTTAGCTTTTCCTTCCCCCCACCCTATTCCCCTTCCCCATCACAAAGCACCCATCCATCACCTCATTACTCCCTCCTCTCCTTCCCTACCAACCAACCCAAATTCATGGTTTCTTCCTCAAAATTCATGAACTTTTGCCCCTTTCAATTCAATTTTGAGCTGCATTCTTCTTAATTATTGGTTACTCAACCCCTATATCATTAAATACTCCAGAATTATGAGTACCCTTTTCTTTTTTATCGCATTATTTGGAGAAATTATTCAAAGGGTCGGTTGTACATAATTTAGTAATCGTCGACTTTTGAAATGATATCGATGAACAAGAAACGAGTCTCTCTTATTGAACTAGAAAAAAAATGAAAATGCTACATATCCCACAAATATCACTCAAAGCTGCTCTCAAGAATCATATGGGAGAGAGATAGAAAGAGATGGAAATGAAAAAGAAACAAAAAGAATACACAAATGAGTATGAAGATCATAATCTACAGCAAATTCAAGTACTATGCTGCGTTGTTAAACCAAGACGATGGCCAGGCCACCCAACACCGCCGCAACACCCGCCGCCTTGTACCCACCGTGCTGGATCGAAAATCCCGCTCCCGGCGGTGGCGACGGCGGCGGCGACGGAGCTGACGCTGGAGCTGGCCCTGGAGCTGGCCCTGGAGATGGGCCTGGAGGCGATGGTGGGCTGTCGGGCATTGTGCTTGGGCCTGGGCTTGGGCCTGATTCCATAGACGGCGGAGAAGCCATCGGCGGGGGGACGGTGGGAGGAGCTGCCATCGGTGGAGTTGACATGCTTGGCGGAGGTGAGGCTGCCATTGGGGGCATGGCGGTGGGGGGAGGTGTAGTAGGAGGGGCTGCAACAGGCGGTGGGGTTAACGGCGGCGGTGCGGCGACGGCGGGACCTGGAGCAGGGGAGGGAGATTGAGCAATGGCGGAGGCTGCTAGAGAGAGGAGAGAGAGAGCGAGCACGAGCATGGCACGTGCGGTAGCCATAGCTGCAAGAAATTGAAGCAGAGAAGAGAGGAAGATTGAAGCGAGGGTTTGTTGGGGGAAGATGATTGATATATAAAGAGGAAGAAGAGGAAAGTTTTGTCGCTAATCTTACCCATGAGTGCACACATTTTTCCATGCTACCCTCTTTGTATGCTGACACGTCACCACATTTTCTTGTTTTTTGAATTTCTTGTTTTTTTATATTAATATAAATATTTGGTTAAATTTATATGATTTTCATGTTTGTTTTATTTATATATTAATTTTTAGATTTTAAAAATAATTCATATTAAGTTGGGACATTCTTAATTCACTTTTTAACCATAAATAAAAAATAAAAGAAATTTGGAAAAAAAATTGTCAATGTTTGTTTTTTTGTCCTTTAATTTTTATTTTATTTATTGAATTCATTAAATTGATTTATTTACCTAAATTGGCCCAAAAAACACTGATTTTAAATATTACAAAAGAAAAGTCAACCTTATTATTGGTCAAAATTTATTCCTTTCTCACATTTTTTTTTTGTCATCTAATTAAGACCAATAATTAAAAAAAAACAATAAAAAATTATTGATTTTGTTTGGCAAAAATGAACCAATCAAATTATTTATAAAAATTCTAAAATTAATTATAAAAAATCCAATAAAATTGATTGATTTTGATTGGAAAAAATGAACCAATCAAATTATTTTTAAAAAATTGTAAAAATAATTTGTAAAAAAAAAAAAAAAAAAAAAATATATATATATATATATATATAAAGGAAAAGGCATGTATATAGCCTAGACTACTTTCTAAAAGAATACTTTAAAAAAGTGGGTCTCGTATGTAAATATTCTAAACTTAGTGCCCTCCACTTGTAATTTCATTTTCTTGTGAAAGAGAGGGCAATTTGGGAAATTTGAAAATTTAAAAAAAAAAAAAAAAAGAATTTTATTGTGGTTCAATTTGGTTGGTAGGTTAAATCGAGTCACGTGAGACATTTTTTTAGCTTCAACTAATTGCTCGGGTCAATCTTGAACCCTTTTAGACGAACACGACTCTCCACAATGATATGATATTGTCTACTTTGAGCTAAACTCTCATGGGTTTACTTTAGGCTTCCCAAAAGGCCTCGTAACAAGGGAGAGAGTATTCTTTGTTTTTAAACTCACGATCATTCCCTAAATTAGTGGACTTCCATCATCCAACAAACCCAACCCAATCCAACTATAAATTGTTAGTTTACTCATGAATCGTATGGGTTAGATTGGGTTGAATTAATCGAGTTTTTTGATTATCAGGTTTTCGAAACACCCTTTAATTTAATTGTCGTCCATTTTTTTTTTATTAGTAACGTGTTTGAGTGCGACAATTGATTCAATTTTTCAAAAAGTCAAATTTAAAAAGTCAAACCTAATTACTTAAAAACCCTCATCATAAATAATAGACACCATTGAAATTAATAGCTTCAAACAAATAAAAATAATAAAAATAATTAAAACTTTGATAATTAGTGGTGAAAGCTTAGCAAAGTATTGAAAAGTAAAAATTAAAAAAAAAAAATTAAAATTAAAATTTGTGGTGTTCATAAGTCTTTGCCCTACAGCCATTGACTTCATGTACCACAAAGCACTAGTGGACCCCACAGAGGACCATAATTTTTTTTATTATAAATTTTCCAAAGAATAATCTAGAAAAGCCATAGGATTTTATTATTAATAAATATTAAAAATATAATATAATTAATTATTAATATTCTATTTAATTCTTTTTGGCAATTAAATTAAAATTTTAGTTATCAATATTACTTTCAATTAATGTTTAATTAATTAATTAATAGCAATATTAATAATACTCATTTTAATATATGATTACATCTAAATGTTACCATTTTTACCTCTAGTTCAAATTTCGTTAATTCACCTAAATTTTAACAAATAATGAGGTAAAATCTTAAAATTTTACTATTTTCGATAAAAATTAAATTTTTTCTCAGTACTGAACAGTTAAACTACCTAACTAAAATTTACATGGTCGTTTCTATTGTAGTCTTTTTAGTAAAATATATGTTTTATAATTCATCAAATGTGAGATCCCACGTAGATCAGAAAGGAGAACAAAACATTCCTTACAAGGGTGTGGAAAACTCTCCCTAACAGGCGTGTTTTAAAATTACGAGACTGACGACTATAAGTAATATGCCAAAGTGAACAATATCTATGATACAGAGCCAAACACCAGGCAGCCTCCAAGAGAGTGGATTGTGAAATTTATATTTTGCGGATAATATCTCTCATATTAGAGCCAGACACCGGGCATTGTGCCAATAAGTACGTTGGGTCTCCAAAAAAGTGGATCGTGAAATCTATATTTAGTGATACGTAACGGACCGACTATTAGCGGTGGGCTTAAGTTATTACATTGAAAGAATGCCCGAAAAAAAAAAAAAAACAATTTAAGGTTAAAATTGGTCATTTTGAAAAAATGTCCATTTCATAAGTAAGATTTTTGCATTGGTATGTATAAACTTTGTTCATGTTCTCTGGTTGTTGGGCTTGCCACGTGTATGGCTAAGATTCAAAATGCCCTAAAGCTTTAGAGAGAGAATCCCTTTCTCTCTCTCTCTCTCCCTGAACAATTCATGTGCAAGGACAAATACAAAGAGGTCATGACACATAAAAGCAAGCACATTCCAGCCTAGCATTCAATTTCTCGACGTGACACGTCGTGTTTGTCACTCGGGTTAAGTTTCGACACTTTTAGAGTAAGAAACCGAGCTTAAATTTGACATGTTCGTGTACCATTTTTAATCAGGGTAAGATGGTAATAATCTCTCTTAAAACTTGTCACAATCGCACTCTTGCGATACCGGGAGAATGATTGTGCGGTACTTGTTCTAACCAAGCGAACAAATCAGCCATGAGAAATTTAAACATCGCGAACAATGTCGACTTATGTTCGGGCCTCAGTCACGTTGGGAGAAAAAAATTAAAAAAACGTGAGCGAGAAAATACATTTGAAAACGATTTGAATAATTAAAAAAAACAGCATTTTATGACTAAATAAATAAAGAAATATCATGGCTTAAATAGCATATAACTCAGGGTAGGAATAAGTGACGACTTGTCACAATCGCACTCTAGCGATAGCGGGACAGCGATTGTGCGGCACTTGTTCTAACCAAACGAACAAGTCAGCCGTGAAAAATTCGAACGTTACGAACCATGTAAGCGTATGTTCGGGCCTCGAGTCACGTTTTGGGGCATACAACTCCGGGTAAGAAAACGTGACAACTAGTCATATCCCTTATGGTACGTTTTGGGGCATTTTAACCCCGACAGATGTAGACATGGTTTTGGTGAATGGTCATACACCCTCGTATTTAACCAACGTAAAATGGTAAAGGTAAATTTCAAATTTGTAGGTTTTAGAGGCAAAGTTGAATTAATTAAAATCCTCAACTAATCAATTTAAACCCTAAATTTTAGATTATTAGTAATTGATTTATAACCCTTTTTGAGTAATTTCATTTAAAATCAATTAAAAAAATATCTAAATTGCAAAAAATTAATATTTTATATTTCTTCGAAAATAAAAAATAAATAAAGGTAGCGAGAAAAGGAAAGAAAATACTTAAATTAATAAAAAATCATTACCATTAATTTGATTTCGACATTTTTTTTTCTAATATTATTAATATCTGCAATTTTTATTTTTTTATTTTAAAATTTAAATTGATATAATTATTAATTTTTATTTTTATTTGATAAAGCTGGAAAAGTGTAACACCATAAATTTATTTATTTATTTTACCAAATTTAAACATTTGAACAAATGCACTCTTTAAAATAGAAAATACACATAAAATTGACATTTAACAGAAAAATATTAAATAATATTTAATTTGTATAAAATATTAAATTATAACAAATAAAATATGATATTATTTTCTTGCTTCACTTATAAAGTAAGCAAAATTTGAATGTGGGATGTGATGTGTAACAAAATTATTAATATCTCAACAATTATCATATCTTATTTAATAATCATTATAAATAATAATTGAATAATTATAAATGTAAATATGTATGAAATGTATATAAATTTTGTCATTTATGAAATTAAAAAAAAGAGTTGATATTAATAAATATGCATTTATGAATTGAGGTGCCAACAAATAAATCAGTTAAATCAAATTGTCATGTCAATAAATGCTCACTTAGAAAATGGATATTTATGTGATTTTATTTAAATAAAATTTTAAATTAGATATAAATTATTTAAATTTAAGATGAGTACTATCAAAATTTTAGGTGCTTTCAAAAATAAATAAATAAATAAATAAAATAATAATAAAAAAAATTGCATGCAATTTAGAAAATATTTATAGTGATTTGGGAAATATTGTTTTTAAAAAATATAAATAAATAAATAAATATTATATTGTTGCGAAAATATCTTGGCATAAAATATTATTTTAATTTATCGAAATTCAAAGGTCTAAAATTATTCTATTTAATAAATGTTAAATTAATAAAAATACCCAAAAATTTTATAATTTATTATAAAAGAATACTCATAAATTTTTAATAATACCCTTAAATTAAAAAATAAAAAATAAAAAATATCTTTGAATTTTAATTTTTTTTCGGTTAAGACCTTCATTTAAAAAAAATAATAATAATAATAATAAACAAAAAAAAAAAAATACATTTATCATTAATATTATATTTTAAAAAAATACCTATAAAATTTTAAAATCGGTAATAACACATTTTACCTTAAAAAAAAAGTTAAACAATTTGTTGTCAGGCTTTCGCCCATTGCGGAAAATTCTCCACTGCTGCCTCCTGTAGGAGTCTGAGCTGTGTCTCAGTCCCAGTGTGGCCGATCATCCTCTCGGACTAGCTACTGATCATCGCTTTAGTAAGCTATTGCCTCACCAGTGTGGCCGATCATACTCCACATATAATTTACAAACGTTTTAATGTCACTTTTCGAAAAGAAAAATTTAGAATCAGACTGAGTTGGGCTTAGAAAATCTTTCAACCAAATCCAACCTACAAACACCG